ATAATAATAATAATAATAATAATAATAATATAAGCAACATTTTCCAACTACTCAGACAATGCTGCCCGTCCTCCCCTATTGCAAACTTTACTTGTTAGGTAAAAATCCTCACCTGTAAGTTCTTCGCGGCAATATCCTCATACTGGTGCTGGATCTGCTTGATGGCGCTCGAGAGGTCGGGGAGGCTGTAGGCGTCTGCTGCTGTGGTGTGGGCCGCATATATCTGTTTCATAAGCTCTTCGATTTCCTGAAAACGTGCGGTTTTGAAAAATTAAAACATTGAGCTTTTTATTTATCAAGGACAATGTAATTATTTTGCTTTTTAATGACCTCTTTGTGAACTCTTCGAAGGAATTCTAGTTCCACCTCCAGGTTTTCTAGCTGCTTCTCCAAAGCAATGCGCGCGGCGGTGGCGGCGTCCACATCCTGAGACGATAAAAGATGTTCATCTCATTGATTCCAACACTTTTTTTCTGCTTATCGCCTAAAACTAAATGTCATTAGACAATTTGATGGTTATCATACCGGACGGAAGGCTTCAATATCAAGCTCGGCTTTCTTCCTCATCTCTACGGCCTCCTCATATTTCACCTTTATCATCTCCAGCTGACCCGCCATAGCGTCCTTTGCAGCAATAGCGTGGCCCTTTAAAAGTAGGTTTATTAGAGGTATTATCATATAATGCATAGACTATGTCTAAGTCTGATACTATTTTCCCCTCAATGCGAATTATCGCCTGATTGTTCCTTATCCAAGACAACATTATTTTGAAGTCTTAAAATAGGCTAGTGTAGCCTAAATATATTTATAAATCATTAATTTAATTTAAAAAAATGTACGAATAGACGTTAAGGTGTTTGCATATTATACATTTATTGTAGATTTTTTAAAATATTATTTGATGCTTAAGATTTGTCGAAGGCTCCATTCAGATAATCAGCTACCCGCTGTATCCTCATCTGCTCCGCCAGCCTCTTCAGCTCCTGGAGTTGCTCCTCGTACAGCAGGCGGAGGCCGGTGGGCTTTAAGTATCGATTCATTAGGGCCTCGATTTGCGTCTCCAACAACTTGTTTTGCTGCTCCAGCGATCGGACCTTTGTTGCGACAGGAGAATAAGAAAACACAGTATGCGTGTCATGTGCTCTGCCTGTATGCCCACAGAAGTGCGAATAATGCGCTTTATCTCGCGAGCCAGCGGTGGCATTTCCACACTGCCAGTGCGCGCGACGCATTCAAGCGTGTCCAAATCAGACAAATGCTGCCAAAGATGCCTCTAAAAGTGAGGCTTGTTTCCAAGAGCATTAAGAGCACTATTAAATTATTGCATTTTTGTTATTTTGTTACATTAATTACAGTAGGCTATGTTGTTCATAATGTAGTAGGCCATGACATGACATTGTGATCTAATCGCATCCAGTGTTTTAAATATGCATCAAAGGCATACTAATTTTGTGTGAGTGCACTTGCCTTCTCGATGTATGCTGCCAGTCGATCGTTGAGCAGTATCATCTCTTGTCTCTCACTGTTTCGTGTGTTCAGGAATTCACGGTTTTCTGCAGCAGCCTGGTCGAGATCGACCCCTGGACCCCCTCCGCTAA